GACGGCGTCTCCTCAGTGTTCATGACGTAGAGCAGTTCTCCTCTCTACCTGCTGCGAACTTTACTGGGCGTGCTGATCACAAGTCCATTTAATTGCTGCACTGCTTGGCATCCAAGAGCCACAGGCCGGTATACCGGTAGACGCGCCTTTTACTACTTTCGTCGGTCGTCCCAGGCAATACCAGTTCGCGCTATTTAGACATTTCGTTACTTTGTTTAATCACCGCAAATTATCATCGTCGGTCATGGGCGAAGTCGAGTTGAGTTCGTATGTCGCCTGGTCTGGCACTGAGAATGTTTTCAGAATAAATGCGTTTGTGTTTATTCAGCGAAAACACAGGATTTGTCACATTTAGTTTTCAGCCTTTCCGCCAATGCAAGCAATGGTCATCTTGATGATAACGTGATGGAAGATGACAGCCGTTTTGTGGCCATCACACGATGTGCTTAAATAACCAGCGTTATCAAAATGACTGACCAGAAATTACGCGTTAAGTTCTGATAAACAGGTCACGGAAGCAACTTCATGATCCTCATTAAAATTATTATTTCATACCCAACAATCTTTCTCAATGGCCTGCAACGCACAAAGTTGAAATTAACATCTTGCAAATGAACGTGGAGGTCATTTTTCCGTGAAAAATGTTGCTTCACTGATGGACTTTCTAAGATCGTGAACGCCAATGTCCAGAGTTTTGTAGAAACTCATATTCAAATCGACATTCTGGTAGTGCGCCGTTTGATTAATGGATTCAAGATTGTGTCCTGCCTCCTACACCTGGGATAAATTTTCTGGCGATCTGCATCTGGAGCGACATCACGGATTTGTAGACCAGACCCAGTGGAGCAGGGGCAACAGGTACATTTCAACTAGAATCAAAATTTTAACTAATGCCGGTGTTTACAAACCTACTAACTCGAATTAGCCAACGCCGGCTTTGCCAATCGAGCCATGTCGGCGTGGTAGCACAGTGGCAAAGAGGTTGGATTTGAACTCTGGAGATGTCTGGTTAAAATCTCCGAAGAACGGGCTACTTTCCTCTTAGCCGTGAATTTCCTTGAGCAAGAAATGTACTCCATGCTGTTTCGGTACCACCAGCGGAAAACGAGTAGCCAGTCATTGACTGACGAATAGCTGGGAGAGCAGAGTACTCTGGTGTAGTCATATCAGCATGAAGGTGTATCATGTAGGTGTAGCCAGGTGGTTTGATGCGAGTGCCTTAGCGGCTGCGCCTTGGCTTGACCCACCTGGTGGCTAACTACTGGGTAAAATAATCAGCGCAAAGTGTAACCTTGAAAAATATCGTTATGTACGTTGGCGATCAAACACGTGGCTTCGATTTAAAATTACATGGAAGCTTTCATTTGGAAAGATGGAATCGATTACCAAAATAGACTACTTCAGATATCGGGAACTTTTCTACGGGATTCCCCTAACCGTCGTCGCCGCGACATTCACCGGCATGCTTGAACAGAAGTCCCAATCGTCCAGTAAAGACTTTTAATTGGCTGAAACTTGATGAATGTAGACCGAGAAACTTCATTTCCGTTGTCTAAAGGACTGTGAGTGGAATAGCGTAAATGCCAGCCAACTTCAGCCCTTTGCAGCACTACTGATGCCCACGACTACGAGGCATGCGCCTTGCTATAAGCAAACAGCAGGAACGTACTGGGAGAGTGAAACCGGGCTGAAAACCCAGCCGTAGAACTACTCTTCTGAAATCGCTCGATAATGTAAGAAAACAGCAACGGCGAGAAATGGTGCGACGCTTCTAATTTACACAGTAAGTCCTAAATACTGGAACTTGATAGTATTTGCGGAAGCTTAATTCAGCAAATCCGACGAAATGAAGTAGAGGGAATGGAATTTTGCAACGTATCCGTGCACTTCAAGACAGAGTGGATCGTCTTTACACTTTTTACCTCAATCCAGACTAGACCGCGGTTTTGATTTTGGCAAACTCAAAGGTAACCGTGAATTGAACCGTGTAACGGGCTATCAGAGGCCGGCCATGCGAAGTCAAGTCTCGTTCTTCAAGAGTTTCAACTCTTACAGCTCCGTTCAACAAAATGCGTGGCTGTCCTTTGACT